TTTTTTTTTTTTTGACAGGCAGGAGTGGACAGTGAGAGAGAGAGACAGGGAGAAAGGTCTTTTTTTTTTTTATCAGTTTTGCTGGTCTTTGTAAAACACTAACTTCTCCTTCCTGCCTTTTGTCTCTTTTTCTTTCCTGATTTTTTGGAAACGATAATGAAAACACTTTCCATTATTTTATCTGGTTTATATATGATTATTTTTTAGTCACAGAAAAAATGTTGATATTCTAATAAAATTTTTAAGTTGAAAAACAAAACAATAATAAAAAAATCAACTTCTGGTTTCATTGATTTTTCTCAATTATTTTTCTGGTTTCTATATCATTTATTTCCACTCTAGTTCTCACTATTTCTTTCCTCCTTGCTTGGGAGTTAATGTAATCTTCTTTTGCTAGCTTTTAACTTGAGAACTTTCTTTTTTTAAATGTACAGTATAATCTTAATGTAATTAAATTGCTGTGTTTAATATAAGGTATAAATTTCCTTTAAAGCCAACCTTTAGCTGCATCCCAGAAATATTGGGGGGTGGTGTTTTCCTTTTTATTCATGTCAAGGTATCTTCTAATTTTCCAGTGATTTCTTCAACCCATGAGTTATTTAAGAGTGTTTTTTAATTCTCATATTTTCATGAATTTCCCAGATTTGTTCTGATACTTTTTCTAATTTCAATCCTTTGTGGTCAGAGAGCATACTTTGCATGGTTTCAGCCTTTTTAAAATAAAAAGCTTGTTTTATGACCTAGTAAATAATCTATCCTAGAGAATGTTCTGTGTGTACTGAAGAAGAATGTATGTTCCACTGTTTGTTGGGTCAAGTATTCTGTAGATTTCTGTTAATTCTAGTTGGTGTATAGTGTTGTTCATATCCTTACTGATTTTCTGCTTAGTATTTTTATTATTGAAAGTGGAGTTTTAAAGTCTTCTGTTATTATTGAATTGTTTATTTCTCCTTTTTTTAAAAGATTTATTTATTTATTTGAAAAGCATAGTTACAGAGAGGCAGAAGCTGAGGAGAGGGGAGGAGAGGGAGAGAAGTCTTCCATCCTCTGGTTCACTCCCCAGATGGCTGCAATGGCCAGGGTTAAGTTGATCCAAAGCCAGGAAGCAGGAGCTTCTTCCAAGTCTCCCATGTGGGTGCAGGAGCCCAAGCACTTGGACCATCTCCTACTGCTTCCCAGGCCATAGCAGAGAGCTGGATCAGAAGGGGAGCAGCCGGGACACGAACCAGTGCCCATTCAGAAGGGGAGTAGCCAGGACACGAACCATTGCCCATATGGGCTGCAGGCACCACAGGTGGAAGCTTAGCCCACCACACCATAGCAACAGCCACACATATAATTTTAATTAGCATATGTTGTTATATTGACTCTTATTATAAAAGATCCTTTTGGGACCGCCATTGTGGTATAGCAGGTAAAGCTGCTGCCTGAGACACCAACATCCCATGTGAGTGCCGGTTTGTGTCCTGGCTCCTCCACTTCAATCCAGCTCCCAGCTAATGGCCTGGGAAAAGTAGTGGAGCATGGCCCAAGTGTTTGGACCCCTGCTACCCACGTGGGAGAACAGAGGAAGCTTCTGGCTTCTGGCTTTGGCCTGGCCTAGCTCCGGCCATTGCAGCCATCTGGGGAGGGAACTAGCAGATGGAAGATCTCTCTCTCTCTCTCTCTCTCTCTCTCTCTCTCTCCATAACTCTGACTTTTCAATAAATAAATCTTTAAAATAAATAAGTAATCTATTCTTCTTTGTCCCTAGTAATGATTGTTCTAACACTAGTGTAGCCACTTCAGTTTTCATTTGGGAAATGTGTAAAGGATATATCTTTTCTATCATCAAAGTATAATATTACAACAAATTAGAGACCTTAATTCACTTTGCTTTTTTATTTTACGATCAGGTAACACTTGCTTTCATAAAATTGAGTAGGTGTTTTCATGGGCTGAGTGGAAGTGATTGGTTTTATAGACAAAGGGTTGAAGGAAGCAGAAACAAAGAACAAAAAAAATGAATTGATCATCTCGAAGTTACCTTCCCAATAAGGCAGGGACAGGAAAGTAGAACAATAAAAAACCAATACCAGAAGGGTAACCTCAGGTTACTCTTCTGTAAAGTTTAAAACAGAGGGAACATCGTTATCATCTTAATAGAAACTGGCCTGTTTTGGAAAATTTGAGTGTTGTCTCTCCTTATTTTTCAGAAGGTCAGTTAATAACTCAGTTTCAGTTTTAGTATGAATGACTCCCTTTTCTTTTTCAGTCTCATCTGTTGGAGCCTAGGGCAGGAGCTTAGTCCAAAACAATGCCCTTGTGGTTTTTATTTAGCATTCACTAACTGCCTGGAACCAGTAGGTCTACTTTTTTGGTAGGTCATGCCTTCAGTACTCTACCAGGCGTTGGCATCTCTGCATTTGTGGGGAGCAACTGAGACTAGACTAAGTTACTGGAATTAAGACTTATTCTATGCATCTGCTCTCCCACAATATGGCGCTGAGAGGGAGCAAACAGCCTCTACGCAGCTGCCTCATCAGTTTGACTGATAAGCTGCAGGAGCTGATCCTGCTCCTGATTGGAGGAGAGCAGCGTGCTCAGCGTGTGGGCAGCAGAGTTGGGATTGGTGGAAGAGGACTATAAAGGAGGAGAGAAACAACATGCACCTGGAACATCCGGATAACATCTGAGCAGCCCCCGAGAGAGCCGGCCGGCGGTGTGCCGCTCCTCCACGGAAGTGGGGAAAGCGGCAGGGGGCCGGCAGCTAACCCGGAACGGCGTGGTTCCTCCGTGAGTGAGGGACCGGCAGCTAACCCGGGAAGGGCCAGGCAAAAGAGAACAGCGCAGGGTCCAGTGTCGTTCCTCCGCGAATGAGGGAGCGACATGCATTAGCCTTCATGTTCTGCTCATGCAGACCATCAAGGTCAGTCAGAAGTGGGAGTTCAGGGTCTTCTCACGTCTATGCTGAACATCCCCACAGCTGGGGCATAGCCTGGCTTTTAGATTCCCAGTAGTACATAAGGGCTTTTCTAAGCTCCCTTGGATAGCTCGTTCTCTGACTTTTCATTTAAATTTCTTGTTAGTTTATTTTTTGTTTTTCTACCACTTCAGGCAGTAGCAAAGTTAACTAATTGCTTATAATTGTTTTCAAATATGGCCTCTAGGGAAAAGGGTTTTTCATTGTGGTATAACTCCAGATCTGATCAGTTTTGCTAGGTCATCAGTTTGATAACTGCTAGACCATTTTTTGTAACAGTTATTTGTTATTTTTTTAAAGTTAAATCCAGATTAACATCCCTTTAAATATGAAAGGTAGCTTGGAAAATTGTATATTTAATTTTAATGCATTGTGATACTCTTCCCAGATTTTTATTTACATATATAAACTGAAATAAATATTTGAATTATTATTTGGAGTTACAGTTAATTTTCATGTGTCTGGGTTGATATATATCAGCCCACTTTTTTCTTCTTTTTGTAAGATTACTTTCTTTGGGGCCGGCACTATGGCACAGCGAGTTAACACCCTGGCCAGAAGTGCCGGCATCCCATATGGGCGCCAGTTCTAGTCCCGGCTGCTCCACTTCTGATCCAGCTCTCTGCTAATGGCCTGGGATAGCAGTGGAGGATGGCCCAAGTCCTTGGGCCCCTGCACCCACGTGGGAGACCCAGAAGAAGCTCCTGGCTTTGGATCAGCACAACTCTGGCCATTGCGGCCAGTTGGGGAGTGAACCATTGGATGGAAGACCTCTCTCTCTCTGCCTCTCCTCTCTCTGTGTAACTCTGACTTTCAAATAATAATAAGTAAATCTTTAAAAAAAAAAGATTACTTTCTTCGCTTCACCCCCTTTCCTCTCCGTGCCTCCACCTGTGTCCTCTCTCTGAGCCTCTCTTCCCCCACTTTATCCTTCCTAGCTCCCAGCTTTCTCATCCCTCCCTCTTTCCCTCTCCCCCTGCTTCTTTCCTTACTCTGTTTACTTTTTACTTCCTTCCTTCCTTCCTTCCTTCCTTTCCTCTTTTTATCCCTCTCAAGCCTCTCATCTCTTTCATCTCCATATCCTGTAATTTCCTAATTCTTATAATCTCAAATTCTTCCTTTTCTTTTTCCTACCACCACCCACCTCCAATTTCCATTTAATAGGAGTATTAAAACAGCTTCCTAATTGGTATCTTACTCTCCTATCTAGCCAAGAGGCTGTTGCTGTATTTTGATCTTTCTAAGTACTGTTCTGATAAGGTTCCAACTGCTAAAAATGTATCTGTGATTGGTTCCCCGTTGCCTACCAAATTAATTCCATGGTGGTCAATATCCTGAAAATTATGGCTCTAACCTCTTCTTTAGTTCTGTTAAATTCCTTGATCTTCAGTGAAACTGTTCTACCTAGAGTTCCATAAACACATGCCTTGCTTTCTGTTCCCATGTCTTTCCTCCCACTCTTCCCCAACTTAAATCCTTAATCTCTTATTCCGTCTGCCCTTTGAATACCTATGATATTTCAATACACAATTCAAATATCCCCATTCCTTTCTCTTATTATTATCTATAAATATCGCTTCCTTTCTTCACCTAAATTATATATTACTTAAACCAGAGACTGTGTCTTAAAATTCTCTGAATTTTTTTTAAAGATTTGTTTATTACAGAGAGGCAGAGGCAGAGAGAGATAGAGAGATCTTCCATCCACTGGTTCACTCCCCAAATGGCCACAACAGCCAGAACTGGGCCAATCCGAAGCCAGGAGCTTTTTCTGGGTCTCCTGCACAGGTTCCGGAGCGCAAGCACTTGGGCAGGCCATCTTCTGCTGCCTTCTCAAGTGCATTAGCAGGGAGTTGGATCAGAAGTGGCTCAGCCAGGACTCAAACCAATACTGGCACTGCAGGCAGCAGCTATACCAGCTACGCCACAGGGCCAGCCCCAAATTCTCTGAACTTTTAACATTACCTTGCTGTGATAAATTTAATTGTTGTACAGTAAGCTCTTTGATTTACCAAAATTTCTCTTTTCTTGTCTCCAGTTAAAGAAGAGTGTAAGAGTCCTAAAGTTGAGTGTCGGTCACAAAAAATGTCCAATAAGCAGGTAAGATTTCTTATAATTTGTTTTCTAGTAGCAAACTTTGTTACGCAAAGGATGGCTTTGTGACCCTGCCTGAATTTTACAAACTTTTCTACCAAATCTGCAAGGGATGTGGCAGGAAGATTGATGAAACATAGGCTGATACTCTGTTGGGTGGGAGGTTGCTCAATTAGAGTCCAAGATTTGGAACTAGTGTCACCTGAAATCCTGATTCTGCCATTTAATAGTCGAGTGACCTTGAGCAGTTCACCTCTCATACCCTCTTCATATCTTCATCTTTAAAATAGTCACTAAAATATTGATCACCTATAGTCTATATAATGTCTGTAGATATTAAAATAATATATGTGGAGGCCGGCGCCGTGGCTCACTAGGCTAATCCTCCGCCTGCAGCTCTGGCACCCCAGGTTCTAGTCCTGGTCGGGGCGCCAGATTCTGTCCTGGTTGCTCCTCTTCCAGTCCAGCTCTCTGCTGTGGCCTGGGAAGGCAGTGGAGGATGGCCCAAGTCCTTGAGCCCTGCACTCGCATGGGAGACCAGGAGAAGCACCTGGCTCCTGGCTTCGGATCGGCACAGCACCGGCCGTAGTGGCCATTTGCAGGGTGAACCAACGGAAAAAGGAAGATCTTTCTTTCTGTCTCTCTCTCTCACTGTCTAACTCTGCCTGTCAAAAATAATAATAATAATATATGTGGAAATATATTTGTATGTAGAAGATAAGTATATTGAAGAACAGCACATTTAAAAGGTAAATTTTATGGAATTAGATTGAGGGGGGAGCTGAGATCACTTATGTTTTACATAGTCAATGCTATTTTATAAGGAGTAGGTAGATATTTTATAATCAAAGAATAACATTTTTATGAAAGATTTATTTAATTATGTATGTATTTATATGAAAAGCAGTGCAGCAGAGAGAGAAAGAGAAATCCTCCATCCACTGGTTCTTTCCCCATATGGCCACAACAGCCAGAACTGAGACTGGCCAAATGCCAGGAACCCAGAATTCTGTCTGGTTCTCCCATTAGGGTGGTAGGGCCCAAACACTTGTGTCTTCATCCACTGCATTCCTAAACTCATTAACAAGGAGCTGGGTTAGAAGCAGAGCAGCCAGGACTCTCAAGTCTTACTCAGATATGGGATACTGACGTCAAAAGCAATCAGTTTAACCCCCTGTGCCCCAACACCAGCCTCTAGAATAACAATTTTAATTGCTAAAAATTAGATATGTATGCTTAATGATATATGTAGTTTTCTGGATACATATTATAATACACCCTTTAAAAAACTGATCTGTTATAAGCTAGTAATACATTGCATTTCTATTATATTATTTATATTATATTTATATAATATATTATTTATATTATATTAGCAGAATTTTTGGTATAGAACAGGTTCTCAGTACATGGTGTAGTTACCTGACTTTTAAGGTCCTCTGCTGACACTCCTACACTGTAATTTCCTTTCCTCTAGAAAATGGATTAGTAAACTTTTGTGCAGTTCTCTCTTTTTTTTTTTTTAATTTATTTTTTTTGACAGGCAGAGTGGACAGTGAGAGAGAGAGACAGAGAGAAAGGTCTTCCTTTTGCCGTTGGTTCACCCTCCAATGGCCGCCGCGGCTGGCGCGCTGCGCTGATCCAATGGCAGGAGCCAGGTACTTCTCCTGGTCTCCCATGGGGTGCAGGGCCCAAGCACTTGGGCCATCCTCCACTGCACTCCCTGGCCACAGCAGAGAGCTGGCCTGGAAGAGGGGCAACCGGGACAGAATCCGGCACCCCGACCGGGACTAGAACCCGGTGTGCCGGCGCCGCAAGGCGGAGGATTAGCCTAGTGAGCCACGGTGCCGGCCCGTGCAGTTCTCTTTGAAGCCTTTACTATTCTCAGAATAACATTTTTACTTTTTAAGATAGTTTTATTTATTTACTGTTATTCTGTATTTATGTGAGGGGGAGGGGAAGATAGAATTCTTCCATCTGCTAGTTCACTACTCAAATGCTTACAGTGGCGCCCCAGTTTGGGATCCTAAACTGGTCCTAAGAAAACCTTAGAGTCAGGAGTCTGGAGCCAGACCCTGAGCCAGATGTCAAACCCAGGCACTCCCATGTGGGACACATGAGTTTTAACTACTAGGTCAAGTGTCCACCCCCAGAATAATGTTTCTGATGCTAAAATAAAATACCTAGAAACTTAAGGAGAACTTGTTATATTGAAGTAAAATTAGAATCACTGCTATTGTGGTTTTCTGAGGCAGTGTGGACTGCTATAACAAAAATACCATTGATTGGGTGTCTCAGACAACAAGTACTTTTCACAGTTCTGGGGGCTTAGAAAGTTCAAGATCAAGGCACTGGTAGAGTAATACTTTTAATATCGAAACAGAATGAGGGGCCGGCACTGTGGCGTAACAGGTTAAGCCGCCACCTGCAGTGCCGGCATCCCATATGGGCACGTTTGAGACTCGGTTGTTCCACTTGCGATCCAGCTCTGCTATGGCCTGGGAAAGCAGTGGAAGATGGCCCAAGTCCTTGGGCCCCTGCACCCGCATGGGAAACCTGGAAGAAGCTCCTGGCTCCTGGCTTCGGATCAGCGCAGCTCCAGCCATTGTGGCTAACTGGGGAGTGGACTAGCAGACCTCTCTCTCTCTCTCTCTCTCTCTCTCTCTCTCTTCCTCTCTTCCTCTCTATCACTGTGTAGTTCTTTCAAATAAATCTTAAAAAAGAAAAAGAAATTAAATGAGATACAACTTGAAACAAAAATAAAACTTGGAAAAAAGTAGTTTTATTAAAATATAGTTCAAATCTGTTAGAGCCTGATGAGAGCTTTCTTCCTGAAAGATAGCCCATCTTCTTATACTCTTACATGATGGAGAGAGAAGCTCTATTCTCTTCTTTTTTTTTTTTTTTTTAAGATTTATTTATTTATTTGAAAGTCAGAGTTACACATCCACTGGTTCACTCCCCAACTGGCTACAATGGCTAGAGCTGCGCTGATCCAAAGCCAGGAGCCAGGAGCTTCTTCTGGGTCTCCCATGCAGGTGCAGAGGCCCAAGGATTTGGGCCATCTTCTGCTTTCCCATGCTAAAACAGAGAGATGGATTGGAAGTGGAGCAGCCAGGATTTGAACCGGCGCTCATATGGGATGTCAGCACTGCAGGCGGCAGCTTTACCTGCTACACCACAGCGCTGGCCCCTATTCTCTTCTTCTTATGAGGATACTAATCCCATCCTAAGGACACCACCCTTACAATGTCATCTAAATCTAACTAGCTTCTAAAGGCCCTACCTCTACTGCCACCCCATATCATTAGGGTTTCAGCATAGGGATTTTGAGCGGATGCAGACATGCAGTCTGTGTAAGTGCTTTATTTCCTGTTCATAATCAAAGGAAATGCAAAATCTCATTGAAAGGGTGAGAAGATAAATATGTAATTTTCCCTCCTCCTAGTTTACAGGCCCCCCTTTTTTTCTTATGATATAAAAGACAAACAGCATATAAAACTTTTTGCAACAATTTATTTTGAACACTATTAAGTAGTAACTACAAATTTATTTGCAAAAAAAAGGTCATTCTCACTTTTTTATAGACTTTTGGAGGGCCTGCCAAATGTAATATTAAGCTATTGAAGAGAAATGAAAGTCCAGAAGTCTCAGAAACCCAAAAGGTTGTGACTGGTTATCCAAATCCTATTGATAAGGTAAAACACTATTTATTCAGTTTCTCTTCCCAAACTTTAATACCTGGGAAGATGATTGAGTAAAAATTAAATGACCTATTTTGAATGTAAAACTGTTAGCTTTTCTGTATCCTTCTACCTTCATCTTCATGCACAAAATATTAATTCTTTTAGCCTAACTCTGGAATGGAGAACATTTTAGCATCCTTGACTATCTCCAAAGAAAATGAAGTCTCGTCAGCTCATCATGGAGAGCCTCTAAATGAAGAGCATTTGTCCCCACAGTCATTTGCTATGGTTCGTATTTTGTAGGAGCTTTTATGTCATGGTAATTTCTCTACTGTTGGCCAGGCACATGCACCCCATGCAGGTATTCCAACATTTTTGCCTCGTGTAGACTGATATGACTGTTATCATTGTCATCCTATGAGGAAAACCAGGCTGCCCTGGGCAATTCAGCCATCTTTTTCTTTACATAATAACTCCCTTGCTTTTCAAATATTGCTACTAGGGATTGAAGCAAAGATTAAACACAAAGATAAGTATTATTTCTATATCTAGAAATAACAGAGTTTTGTTTGGCTTTTGACTGCTGATTTTCTCTTACTTGCTACTGGATGTAACTCGTGTCTTAATTTTTAACAATGGATCTCTTCAAAAGAAAAATCAATAAACTATAAATCTAATGTTAACTTTCCTCTCCCCGCCTCCACCATCTCCATGTGAATCATTTTCAAAGAAGGGAACAAAGATGCTTAAAGAAATACTAAAAATTGATGGATCCGACACTGTGGACCGTAAGAATGAGATGAAAAAATCTGGTGATGAAGTCACTGTTTCTTCTAATAGAAAAGATGAATATGGACTGGCCTCACAGCCTAAACAAAATAAGAAATTATGTAAGTAAACTAAGTACTATTACTGATAATGATTATCATTACAAAAATTCAGTTCATTTGATTATGTGCTTTAAAGATAAAACTACTTTTATTCTTATAAGTATAATTTTTCTTGTTTTTAAAGATTTTTACTTATTTGAAAGGCAGAGTTACAGAGAGAAGAGGAGAGACAGAAAGAGATCTTCCATCTTCTGATTCACTCCCTAAATGGCCACAATGGCCAGGGGTTGGCCAGGCTGAACCTAGGAGCCCAGAGCTTTTTCCAGGTCTCCACGTGGGTGTAGGAGGCCCAGGCACTTAGGCCATCCTCTGCTGCTCTCCCAGGCATGTTAGCAGGGATCAGAAGTGGAGCAATCGGCCGGCGCCGCGGCTCACTAGGCTAATCCTCCGCCTTGTGGCGCCGGCACACCAGGTTCTAGTCCCGGTCAGGGCACCGGATTCTGTCCCGGTTGCCCCTCTTCCAGGCCAGCTCTCTGCTGTGGCCAAGGAGTGCAGTGGAGGATGGCCCAAGTACTTGGGCCCTGCACCCCATGGGAGACCAGGAGAAGCACCTGGCTCCTGCCATCGGATCAGCGTGGTGTGCCGGCTGCAGCACGCTGGCCGCGGTGGCCATTGGAGGGTGAACCAACGGCAAAAGCAAGACCTTTCTCTCTGTCTCTCTCTCTCACTGTCCACTCTGCCTGTCAAAAAAAAAAAAAAAAAAAAAAAAAAAAAAAAAGTGGAGCAATCAGTTTTTGAACCAGTGCCCATATGAGATGCCCACATCACAGGTAGCAGTTTAACTGCTGTACCACAACACCAGTCCCAAAGAAGCATAGTTTCTATACTTTTGTCAGTTATGTCATAACTATGTAAGTAATAGATCCGTGATCCCTAAATATCATCTTTTTGTTACTTAAATTTCATTATTATAGGCACTCATTCTGTAGGTAACCAAACTTAGGAAGCTTTTCACATTCTAGCTTTTTTTCTCAGTAATTTAAAAATGTTTATATAACTTAAAGATGTTATTTAACTTTTCTAAAATTCTTTTTTCCCTATGTACAAAATGAGAATAATCTATTACTGCTGTATAGAGCAGTTAGGCCTGTTATCTGACACATTGTAGATATCTGGCAGTTAAGATGCCTGCATCCTATATTAGAGTGGGTTCGATTCTATGTTTCAGCTCCTGACTAGAACTTTCCACCAATGTAGAAAGTGGGATGCAACAATGATAGCTCAAGTAGTTGGTTTTCTGCCACTGCCATCCACATGGGACTTGGATTGCATTTTCTACTCCTGGCTTTGGCAGCTGCAAGCTTTTGGAGAGTGAACCAGCAAATGGGGTCATTCTCATTCACTCACCTGCCTGCCATGCACCCCTGCCTCCACCTCTTCCCCGCCTCAATTAAATAAAATCTACTGAAAAAAAATCCCCAAACTACTAGGAAATGAGTTGATCATTATCATAGTGACAGACATGCTTCTGAAATAGAGCAAAATAAAATTTTAAAACAAAATTGGGGGACCAGTGCTGTGGCATAGCAGGTAAAGCCACCATCTGCAGTGCCAGCATCCCACATGGGTTCCAGTTTGAGATCCAGCTACACCACTTCCAATCCAGCTCTCTGCTATGGCCTGGGAAGTGGTGGAAGATGGCCCAAGTCCTTGGGCCCCTGTACCCACATGGGAGACCTGGAATCTCCCACAAGGTGCCAGGGCCCAAGCACTTTGGATCATCTTTCACTGCCCTCCCAGGCACATCAGTAGGAAACTGAATTGAAATCAGTTGGTTTTCACTTAATCCTTAAGTTTTGAGACTGCCTTGCCTTCAGTCTTTTTTTTTTTTTTTTAATGACTTATTAATTGCAAGGCACAGTTACAGACAGAGAGGGAGAAACAGAGAGAGAGGTCTTCCATCCCCTGTTGTACTCCCCAAATGGCTGCAACAGCCAGGGCTGGACCTGGCCAAAGCCAGGAGCCTGGAACTCCATCCAGTTGTCCAACATGGGTGGCAGGAGACCAGGCACTTGGGCAATTGTCTGCTGCTTCCTAGATGCATTAGCAGGGAGCTGGAAGAAACAGCTGAATGGAAAGTGGAGCAGCCAGGACTCAAAGCAGATACCATATAGGATGCCAGTGTCACAGGCAGTTGCTTAACCTGTGCCACAACACTGACCCCTGTTTATGTCTTAATAATTTTTCATTGATTAATTATAATCATCTAAAAATTTATTGAAACCACAATAATTTTAGGCAGTGCTGAATAGATTTCATATTTTCTTTATAGGAGATTTCATTTTTATACCCCTCAGGAATTTTGTGTTTGTTCTTTCATAAAACCCTGCAATAATTATATAATTTGAGATATCACTTTATTTATTTTTATGTTTCTTTGAGAGAGAGGGAGAGAAAGCTCCCATCCTCTAGTTAACTCCTCAGATGCCAGAACTGGCAGCTGTGCCTAGAGCTTGGGTACACTTTCTAGATCTCCCACATGGATGAGAGGAACACAGTTACTGGAGCCATGACTGCTGCCTCCCAGGGCTCTACATTAGTAGGAAGCTGAGTCAGGAGCCAGAGACAAGAAAGCCTGGGTACTGTGATATGGGACACAGGCATCTTAATCACTAGTCTTAATACCCATCCCAAGACACTGTCCTTTTTGTCTTTTTCCTAGCATCTTATATGAATAAGCCTCACAGTGTTAATGAGTACCATAATGTTCAGTCTATGGACAATGTGTGTTGGCCTGCTCCCAGCCAGATTCCTCCTTTGTCTACACCGGTAACTGAACTTTGTCGAATTTGTTCACTTGTTGGAATGCCACAACCAGATTTCTCCTTTCTTCGAACACCACAGGTATAGTACAGCTGTTCCATATGTGTAACTGCTTTAACACTGAGCTTAAATAAGTTGACTAAAAATATTTGGCTAGAAAAATATAATGTGGCTGGTTTTTACTTTTTTTTTTTTTTGCTTTACAAAAAGCATGGATTTATGCTTCTGTCTTTGGTTATTCCATTTACCCATAACCAGAGCCCTCAGAGAAGCTGATGGCCGGACCCTGGCCGGCAAGTGTCTTGGTGCAGTTCTTCGGAATGATAAGTCTAGGGATCTTGGTCTACAACAGCAGTTGTCAAACATTCTGATCTCAGAAACTCCTCCTCTTTTTTAGAGAAGCCCATATTTACAATATTAGAAATTAAAAGTGGAAAAAAAGTTTAAGTGTTGATTAATTCATTGTTTACTAAGAATAACTACAAAACATTTGGTGAGAGGAGTGGTAATGCTGTACATTTTAAAAACCTGTTCCGTATCTAGCTTAATAGAAGGGGCTAGATTCTCTTACGTGCTTTGTACTTTCAATCACTTGTGATATGCCGCTTTGGTGAAAGCATGTAGCCACACAGAGATAGCTAGTTGGGAAAAGAACAAAATTTTAATAGCCTTTCTAGGTAATTGTGGCTATTATTTGATACTACTTTATCATTTAAATGTGATGTTTCCTTAAGGATTAGTTACAGTGTAGAATCTGAAACTTCATCAGTGAGCTTTTGTCCTCTATATCAACTAGTGGTGAGAAAATGAGAAAAGGCAGTGAAAAGGCAGATAGCATCTTAATATCATTATTATGAAATAGTTTTAATCTCAGTGAACAACACAACATGCCCACATTTGCAACTTCTGTTCAACATACTGCTAGAAGTTTTAGCCAAGAAAAAAAAAATGAAAAACATCCAAATTAGAGAGAAATTAAATTAGCTGTGTTTACAAATGTTATGATCTTACATGTTGTACAAAAACCCTAAAGATTGTACCAAAACAAACAACAAAAAAACTATTCGAACCAATAAATAAATTCAGCAAAGTTGCAACATACAAAATCAGACAAAAATCCCTTGTACTTCTAAACACAAATAGTAAACAATTTGAAAAGGAAATTAAGAAAACAGTTCCATTTATGAAAGCACCAAAAAGAATAAAGTAAAATGGGCCAGGATCCCAAATCAAAGACTGTACTTTAGGGGACGAGATCAGCTCTTCCTAGACAGGTTATTTCATAAGCGCCCATATTCTCTTTTTCAGACCATGACAGTTTGCCAGGTAAAGTTATCTAATGGCCTACTGGTACATGGGCCACAGTGCCACTCTGAAAATGAAGCCAAGGAAAAAGCTGCACTTTTTGCTTTACAACAGTTGGTAAGAACTATCCATGACTTCTCTATTAAATTTTAGTGTCTATGAAAAGTTTTTGTCACATTGTCTTACAGTTTTTTAATACTTCACAGGGCTCCTTAGTGAACTTCCCTTTGTCTCCACCAATATTTCCAAATTATCCTTCTGCTGTAACGCCTGGAACCATTCCTCCAGTCTTTCCCCAACCTACTGGTAAGATTTCTTTTCCTTTCTTTTCTTTTTTAAGATTTCAGTTATTTATTTGAGAGGCAGAGTTATAGACATACAAAGGGAGAGACAGAGAGGAAGGTCTTCCCTCTGCTGGTTCACTTTCCAAATAGATGCAATGGCCAGAGCTGGGCCAATCTCGAGCCAGGAGCTTCTTTTGGGTCTCTCGTGTGGATGCAGGGGCCCAAATACTTAGGCCATCTTCTACTGCTTTCCCAGGCCGTAGCAGAGAGCTGGATCAGAAGAGGAGCAACTGGGACACGAATCAGTATGCATATGGGATGCCAGCACTGCCGGCAGAGGCTTAGCCTACTATGTCACAACACTGACCATAATAATTTTGTTTTTCTAAATATTTGTCATTGAATTGTCATTTTTACCAAGTTCTTTTGAGAAGTATAATTTTTAAGAAATCAAAACCTTTGTTCAAGTGACTAGAAATGCTAGAAACTGAGAAGTGAGCCTGCAGCCAAAGCCGCCTCCAGCCTGCACAGAAGGCTGTTCTTTATAGTGAGCAGACCCTTGCTTCGCAGCAGCTGCTAGCTGATAAACAGAAGTTTAAATAAGACATCACAAACACATGTGAAAAACATCATGTAACTTTCTGGGTCTCTTTTTTTATTTGTAGTAGACTAGATTAAGGATTTCTTTGAAACTAGCATTTTATAATTTTATTAATAATTTTATTAATCTTAACTTCATTTGATTTTGATATTTCTTATATCATCCAGCCTTTTACCCAATAGCATTTGGCTTCTTTATGTTTTCATTATTATCACTTAAGTCCAGTAATTTATTTATTTATTTTAAGCTTAGAAAATTACTTTTCTGTGGCTGTTGTATACTAGCTGTTATTTCAGGAATTCTGCATCTCTAATCCTTACTATAAACATTAGATTAATAATGCTAAGAAGAGAAGGTAGCCGGCGCCGCGGCTCACTAGGCTAATCCTCCGCCTAGCGGCGCCGGCACACCGGGTTCTAGTCCCGGTCGGGGCGCCGGATTCTGTCCCGGTTGCCCCTCTTCCAGGCCAGCTCTCTGCTGTGGCCCGGGAGTGCAGTGGAGGATGGCCCAGGTGCTTGGGCCCTGCACCCCATGGGAGACCAGGAAAAGCACCTGGCTCCTGGCTCCTGCCATCGGATCGGTGCGGTGCGCCGGCCGCAGCGCGCCGGCCGCGGCGGCCATTGGAGAGTGAACCAAGAGCAAAAGAAAGACCTTTCTCTCTGTCTCTCTCTCTCACTGTCCACTCTGCCTGTCAAAAAAAAAAAAAAAAAAAAAAAGAAGAGAAGGTAAATTTACAACATGCTTCCATCTCCAATAATAAAGGATTTTAAAAGTATATACTCACCAGGAGATGTGGGAAGAAATATCAGCAGATTAGAGATTTGAAAAGAGTTTATGATGAGAAAAACAAGTGGAGAAGTAACCAATGTAGCAGAGAAAGGAGTTAGTGAATAGATTGTCCCTCACAATTCCCAAGGATTCAGAAATTGGAGCTATCACACTTTAACAGTGCTTGTTGAAAAGAGAGATTGGCTGAAAGTTATGTGGAGTAACAGGACAACCCCCTCCCATCTGTCCCCAGTGCGGCCAGGCAGTTGACTCTTCAAGCAAAAACCGTAACTGTGTTCTCCTTGAAGGGGACCTCGGGATGCAGGAACACTAGGCACAGGGTAGAGAAAGAAGTGTGAGACTAAATACAATGGTTAAGATAAATTTCCCTTTTCCCAGCTCGTAGCCAGACATATCCTACCCTACAGATAAAAAGTTGGATGATGATTCTTTTGAGAAATTCATTGACCTCCAAAGGAAAGATCTACTTACTTTTAGAGGGCATCCACCAAATGCTGGCTGTCTACCTGCTCATCCTAGAGTGAAGCCCTCAAGTCATTTAATCCTGCTCCCTCCCATATAGACTCTGCTTCTAACCACAGTTTTAGTATTGCTTCCTTTTTTCTTTTATAAAGATTTATTTATTTATTTGAAAGAGAATAAGAGAGAGAGAGAGAATATGAATCTTTGGTCCACTGATTCACTCCAATAGTTGTTGAAACTCCAGGAGTCTAGGATTCCATCCAGGTCTCCCTCGTGGATGCTAACACACACACACTGAGAGGCAGCAGGTAACGGTTTCAGTAACCTGGGTTCCTGCCACATATATGGAAGACCTAGATGGAGTTCCTGGCTTTGGACTGGCCTAACATGGCTGTTGCAGGCATTTGGGGAATGAACTAGCAAACAGAAGCTTTCTATCTCACAGTCTTTCAAACAATAAACAAATCAACTTAAAAAAGTGTCTTAGGAGAATAAGGAACCCTAAAGGAAATAATTGTTAACTCCCTTTTTATTACCAATATTTTACAGCTTGATAATTTTACCTTTTTCATATTTACCTTTTCATGTTGTCTAATTTATTCATACCTGTACCAAGAATTTTAAGGTTATAATTGAAATGTTTTTGGTCTTTAGTAGGTATTCTCCAAATGTTCCAGTTATGAATACATAGCAGCCAAAAGATGTGAACAGTATTTGGCGTCTTTTCAGTAGTTCTTAACATTATGACTCCCGTCAAACTTGCTTGTTGGCAGTATCAAGACCTAATTTTCTAAATCTTATTAGTGTTTTCCAAATTAAAGGTTTTCTTCATCCTAGGAATTGTTATGTATAATTAATAATACTAAAATATATTATGATTCTTTTTCACTGATGCAAAAATTCCTCAAGTGGCTGAATTTTAACTAAGCTACACTGTTTTAGGCTGCTTTTCTCTCTCTCTAAAGGTTTGAACCTAGTGCATATCTTCTTTAGTGACAATGAGCTGCTGCCTTGATTATCACCATTTTTAATGCAGTTGTTCACAGATGCTGCATTGATGTTAGCTGTCTGCATAAGAATCACCTATGGAGTTTGTTAGTAAATACTTATTTCTGGGCCCTTCAGGGTCTGATTTACAAAGTTTGAGGCCCTGCCCAGAAGTCTGTATTTAGCAGGTTCCCTAGGTAATTCAGATACACACAGCAGGTTTGGGAATCATTGGTTTGATGCATTTTTAATAAAAAAAAAATGTAAATGAAAAAATCCTTGAATTACAAATGCTAGAATAGGGAAAAGAAAGATTTTGCATGTCATATGAAAATGATCAGATTTCAGGACTTGAGCTTTTTTGGTTTTCTTATAGGCTGGGATCACTATGGAAGCAACTTAGCATTGGGGGCAGGTGAGATTCTTAAGACTTCTTTGTGCCCAGGATTTTCTCTCCCAGATAACAGTATCATGACCCTGTTATTTTTTAATATAATTTCAAATATTCCTAAAGTTTATGTCAGCGTACGGTACCCTTAGTCTTTGCATGCCAGCATAATGATAAATTCCTTTCTGTAGAAAGTCCAAAGAAGGGCTGCTAGGGTTGAATGTTCTAAGCAGAAGTTATAGGTTAAATTGGACATTTTGCCAAAGGGAAAAAAAAAAAAAGGCTAACAGAAGAAGGTCTTAAATGTTAGGGCTTCGATAATTCTGTTTTACTAAGAGAAAGATTTTCTGTGGTTTTTAACAGCTAACATAATGCCTCCATCTCATCTCTTCGGCTCAATGCCGTGGGGACCACCAGTACCAGTTCCTGGGAAGCCCTTCCATCATCCTCCATATTCTGGGACCATGCCCATGGCTGGAGTGATGCCAGGTGGTGTGCATAATCAGTTCATACCTCTGCAGGTGAGACCTGGAAAGAGAATTATTATCTTCTTAAGGGAATTATTGTTTCAAATGCTCAAAGACTATATATTTATTCAGTTTTATTTTTTCAGTGCCAGCTCAAAATCCAGTACTGGTCTGAGTACTCTGTCCTTGCTAAGTTTGTGTTCTTCTAAATAATAACTGTTGTAGCAAGTAATACTGTACTGTTCTACCACAAAGTGATACAAAAACATAATTTTTTATATTTTACAGAGAATTTTTAAATTTTTGTAACCAAATTCTTTTAGTGTTTTATTACTAAATTCTGGAGGTTAAAGTGGAAGTCACAAATCAACAGTTACAACTGTTAGCAGCATCATTTATGGTATCATTTGACACTAGGATTTATTTGTGGTTTTTTTTGCTTATATTATTAATTAATGATATTTTTATTCCTAAAGGTTACCAAAAAAAGGGTTGCAAACAAAAAGATCATTGAGAATAAGGAGGCCCAGAGTTCTTCTCAAACCACTCCAGCTAAGACTAACCAGCCAGGATCTCCTGATGGCCCCAAAGGGAGTCTGCAGGACCGCCCATCGGCTTCCCTAAAGCCCTCTGAGACTGCGCCGCCTTCGTCTTCTATTCAAGTTGAAGCTGCCTCTCAGGGCCATGGTGCGTCTCACCGTAAGTCAGCACCAAGTTCTTCAAGAAGAAAATCAAGAAAACTGGCTGTCAATTTTGGCATTTCTAAACCTTCTGAATAAATTTGGTACTTGGAATTCAATTAATTTGTTTATTTTGCATCACCTTTTTTACAGGTCCATATCCATGTCTCATAAAAAATGAGCATACTACTATTTTAAAATAATAGGTTTAAAGTGAGAAGTTTTCCTTTTTAAGATGCCAGGCACTTTTCATGCTATTTAAAGGTTAAATATCAGATTGTGCACTTTAAATATGTGCAGTTTGTTGTGCATCAGTTATGCCTCAATAAAGCTGTAAAAAAAAAAAAAAAACTAAATTAAACCTTGTGCTAAAATAGTATGAGTGGGCTAAGCATTAAAATGTACCACTCTAACCACTGGCCTCCTCGTTAGAAATATCCCCAACTATGAATTAGACACCCTTTTAGCAATAATAGTAAAACTTTGTTTTACATTATCATTGGGGTATAATTAATTGGAGCATGAAAATTGAGCCTCAAGTATGATTTACTAAACGTAAGGATTCTTTTTCTCTTTTTAATGATGTAACAAAATGAATCAAGAGAATGGCTCTTCTGTATGTGTATTTTAACTTCTATTCTCTGTCCCTGAGGGGCCTGTGAAATGATCACACTTGTTGTGGTGCTGCCAGTTTTGCTTTATTCTCAATTTTGTACCAAAGCAACTTTAGATTACTGATCAGAAGAATATTTCATTTAATTGTTAAGAAACATAAATAGCAATCTAGATTTGAGTTAGTACTTTAAAAGTTTTCTAGATTATTCAAGAACCAGCATTAGTAATTTCTAATAAAATTGTTTCAAAATCTACAGGGTACAGTTACTACAGATTTATCTTCTATAGAATAAAGAACAAAATATGAATCACGTTGTTACTATTTTGTGTAGCTTTTGATCTGCTTACTTAACATACGTGAGAGCTCCAGTGTTGGTCCATGTGTAATGCTTCTTGGGAGTGATGGAATTCAATTTTTTTTAAGTCTAAGGTGTGCTGTGATACAGGCACAATCCGTTTGTGATGTACATTATTTACTGCCTGTCTCATTGGAGTTCTGTAATTTTAGCTTTATGCGAACTGTTCATTGATGCTGGTGTTTCGTCTTTGCATGTCATGTGGAGGTGTGTTGGTCATATTATAACTGTTGAAATTATTTTAGAAAATGTCTCAGTGGTACCAGGGCCTGGGTTTTTATAGATATATATATGTATATGTGTGTATAATATATATATTTATCCTTTAGTTTTTGTGATATGCTTATATTTTTAAAGAAGTAAGTTATACTTTTTTAAAGAACCACAATCTTTATATGGAGCTGCTTATGATTATATCTGATTTCATTTAGCACATTGAAAGCTTTGCCATGAGTCTCAGTCTGCTTGTTTTTTTAAATGCTGGTATTCCTTTCTCTAATTGCTGGTTCCAGAGTTTCTCTAGCTATGAGGAGCATATTTGTATTTTAGTAGTGCCTTTTGTATAAGTGATAAATGGTATTTATTCATCATTTATTGTAGTCATGTGGGTTTCTATGACTTTGTTTTCTAATAATTTCCTAAGTTCAGATGTTCATCAGTTCCCACATTTCCTTGTTTGTTTATCTACAGTGGGATCTTAGTAATGAGCTCAAGTAATTCTCAGTGTTTATCTTTATTGCCTCACAAATTCTCTGTTTTAAGGGGAAGGGATTACAAGGAAAAGTTAAATTGTGACAGTAATGTTCTGTTAGCCTCTTACTACTTTAAAGTGTGGGATATTTTTCTCCTGACTTAACTGTGTGAACTCTAGCATTCAAGGACTGCCTCATTCATCACGCCAGTGAGAGAGTTCTATAAACCGTGTTCTGCCCACATCTGTTACAGAACACAGAGGAAGGATCATGGGCCATCTTTGGAAAGCTCAAGAGTAGGTTGACTAAACATCATGCCACTGAGCCCATAAAGACACTTGTCCAATGTTTGAGTACAACCAGCTGATAATTCTATATGGATAGGCAGTAAAAGTGTTTTCTTTTCCTTTCTTCCCTTTTTCTTTTTAGAAAAAGCATGTTGTTCTAGCAGTCAAGATTGAAAAGGAGAGAACTCCATAATGACTACATAGTGGTCAGTCATTCCCTGTTCTTTTATCCTCATAGCCCTGTTCCAAGTGTGGGCCCCAGATCACGGCGCATGCGCCCCCTATGAAGGACATGGAGGAAAGGGCATGGTTCCCTCAGGATGACCTGGAGACTGGATCCACTGGTAGTCATGCCTGGGGGAGTCCACTACACCTCTGAGAAACAGCTGGACTTTGGAAAACTTACAGTTTTTCTCTTTGGGCGAGGCAGACTAAAACCATCCCCCAGAGTTTAAAAATATGCTCATTCAGCTGTTTACTTAGGAGAACTTTCTGTGTAAATGATGGCCTGTAGGGTACAGAAGGAAAGATTCCCCAGATTACTCCGTGCTTCCACGTAACCAGAGTACTAAAATCTACTGAAGCCTTCTTCACGCTGAAACATTATTTCTAAATGTTCTTGTTCAATACTTTTTTTTTTTTTTGGACCAAATTAAGTGGATTTTGAAGAGTGACCCTTCCGGTCTCTTTCCTTTTCACAACTTCCTCCATTACCTGGTCCTAACCTCAGTTTTACAATATGATAAATATAATGTGTTAATTGTTTTAGATATCATACAGACTGAAGTCTTAAACATCTAAGACTCAATTGCATGAAATTAAATTGACTTCAGTTGAACCTGGATTTCAATTTAAGATTTTATCTTTCAAAGGGGTACATAGCAAAGATCAGAATTTGTTTTTCCTAATAATGGGAGGGATGAGGAACTGTTAATGCAAGGTTTTCATAATTTCTTTATTTTTCTTTGATCTGATATTTGCTTTGGCTTTAGACTCCTTCCAAATTAATCTAGGTTCTTGTTTTTAAGAGGAGGAGGCAAAAACAGGGAGGCAGTTGGAAGAAGGAAATCGGTTAAATTTGTATCACTCGCCATTTCCATACCGGCTATGTGGCTTCTTCCGTTATGGGAGTGAGGTGCAGCCGCGCCCATCTCCTCCGAAGTTAGTCCTAACATGCTCCTCCCAGTTTCCAGAGCATCTTTCTTAACGCAACTCTGCACAGTTCCAGCTTTTCGAGGCCGCTTTATTTCTTAGTGCCATGTTGCTTCCATGCTGTGTTTTTACTGCAGAAGAGAATGAATTTATTGGAGAGAAATTGCTCAGCAAAGCATTCTCTTAGAACCACGTATCACAGAAGTCCACTTGTTGTTTTTCTAGAGATAGTGAGAGTACTCTAACTGGCAGTGTACCTGACGTCCGTTTTGTAAGCTTTGCCAGTGAAACGGTCTTTTTTGCAGGAGACTCCTTTCCTAGTCAGGCTAAAGCTTAAACTGCCAGAAATGAATGTTTTTCCACCTGACTTGATTATATTTCCATCAGACGTCCTCGTATTCTACCAGGGAGCAGTAAACAGTATTGAAATAGACAGCGTCAGATCTCCAGCAGAGGAATCAGGCAGATCATCGTGTTTCACTGTTCGCTTACAGAGTTAAGGACTCAGACGTCACAGATTCTTCTTAGAGAATCGGAGGGGAAACATGCATAAAATAGCTGTAGTCAAGAATGTCAGCTTCCACAGCTTCGTGTGTGCGTGCGTGTGTGTGCGTGTGCGTGTGTGTCAGCCAGTCTCAAGGCCTTGCTCAGTCAGTGCATTCAGCCATCTCAAGTGCAATTTCTGAAGGAAACTGTGGTTTCCAACAGATATATTTTTTACATAGCTTAACCTATGAAAGTTCATTTTTTTTCCAGCATTACACTCATTGCTATTGATCGTTTCAATATATTTGGTATACTATTAAATTGCCCAGGCCAAATAATTTTCTGTAGCTGTTTTAGTAATTTGGAGCCAAATTCTCATTTGTTTCTCCTGAAAAAATTGGAGTGAGAATTGAGGCCACAGTTTGTTGTAAGTCCTTTGATTTCTTTCTTTTCTTTCTTTTTCCTTACAATGAAGGGTTTTTCTGTGTAGTTTTGATTTTGGTTTCTTTAAAATTTTGGGGGCAAAAAGAGGGCCTCAAGTATCATATATTTTCTTTTGCCTGCGCCCAGTTGCTTCTTTGAGTGTTTTCATCTATTTGGATGTATAGTAATAGATGGCGTGCTGTGTCACCAACGTGTTCAACATTTTGTTCATTTAAATACTATAATTAGGTGTCATTCATATATATATATCTTAATTCATTTCTTTTCTCACATATATATTTTATAAGTAACTGGAATTTTTCATTAGATCTTATACAGAGCAGTATTTTATTAAAAATTCAAAAGGGAAGACTTTTATGTGCTCATTTTATAGATTTTGGTTTTTAAATATCTTTACATTGTTTGTCTGCCAATTAAAGTGTTTTAATCTTGCATTGCAATGGACTCCGAATGTATTTTTGTGTTGTACATTTGTAGATTTCTAGCATGAAGTTAGCCTCAACATGCTGTGCTAAAGAATTTTAAAATATGAGTCACTGAAAGTTTAAAACATCTATACATGTTAAGTGCTGTATGGATTTTAATTAAAGACTTGAGAATGATTTCATAAGCTGTGAGTTACGTGGTTTCATTAATGTTGAAGGTAGAAGCATTGCGGTTCTCACTTAAACCTCATATCCTTTCCAGATCCATATCTTGATGCTACATCATGTACAGCGAGACAGCGTGGCTGGCGGGAATCCCTAAGTTGTAGGTTCAGATAACTGATTCAGATCCTAGCTCTACCTCTGTGTATAAGTGAGTCATGTTCATGTTAGCATTGGCAAGTTGCACAAGGTCCAAGCCTCAGCTGATTCTCCTGAAGGCGGAAACAGCACCCCGTGTTTTGCTGATACATGTAAAACACCACGTGCTCAGTAGCCGCTTTAGCTTGGATCCCAAGGTGCTTCAGATTCTGGATTTTCAGATTAGGAGTGCTCAACCTATAGTACTAAGTAAGGATCTGTCACACGTACACTCAGACTCACCCGGGATCCTCTGGATGGTGCCAAATAAGTCTTTGCCTTTCCCACCCGGTCCCCCTCCAATACCAAATTCAGAGTCCCTGTGCCTCACTCAGGAATCTTAGAGACTTCCCTTTCTCCTCTTTGTCCCTCCTTTTCCCTCTCCCCTGCAGAGGAAGATTATCACAGAGCCACACAGGAAGGGCTTTCATTCCTATTTTTTTTTTTTTTTAAGATTTATTTATTTCTTTGAAAGTCCGTTACACAGAGAAGGAGAGGCAGAGAGAGAAGTCTTCCATCTGCTGGTTCACTCCCCAATTGGCTGCAACGGCCAGAGCTGTGCTGATCCGAAGCCAGAAGCCAGGAGCCAGGAGCTTCTTCCGGGTCTCCCACACGGGTGCAGGGGCCCAAGCACTTGGGCCATCTTCTACTGCTTTCCCAGGCCACAGCAGAGAGCTGGATCAGAAGTGGAGCAGCTGGGACCTGAACCAGTGCCCATATGGGATGCTGGTGCCACAGGCCGCTACGCCACAGTGCCAGCACCTCTTAAAAAAAAAAAGACTTATTTATTTGAAAGAGTTACACAGAGAAGCAGCGAGAGAGAGAGGTCTTCCATCTGCTAGTTCACTCCCTAATTGGCCGCAACAGCCAGAACTGTGCCCATCTGAAGCCAGGAACCAGGAGCTTCTTCTGGGTCTCCCACATGGGAACAGGGGTTCTGGGTCTCAGGCCATCTACTGCCTTCCCAGGCCACAGTAGAGAGCTGGATCAGAAGAGGAGCAGCCAGGTCTTGAACCGGTGCTCATTTGGGATGAGCTACAGCGCCAGCCCCTCATTCCTATTCTTAGGACTGCAGAATCCACAAGACTAACCCTTGTCAACCGTGACCGTGTCTCACAGTATAACTGCATTGTTTTATCAGACTCTGGTAGGATAGGAAGAAGTTGGAAAAAAAGAGGGTAAATAGGGAAGAAAGTCTCTTCCTCCTTTATCTGCTTCCAGCTCTGCCCCGTAACCTCAGACTGCCCCTCCTGGAATGCGTCACTCGAGGCCCTGAGAAGTGACCACATTCTGATACAGCCCTGGGGCAAGGGAGACACGCGGTCTCTAACAGTGGAGACTCGGCGGGCCCCACACTGGCAGCTCTGCCGAGATCCTCAGGAACCACCCGCCTCCGCCCCTGCTGTAGTCTCATTGGGCCACCCTCCCACTTTGGCAGTAATTTATTGAGAATCAAAACAAACCAAAACACAGTCCAACTGGCTTATGGAAAAGGAGTTTGTTGTAAGACGGTGGGAAAATCTTAGAAGAATCCGATCCTGGAAGTGCAGTGAGGCCACGGTGTGGGTGTCACCCTCCAGCTCCTCTGTCTCCCGTTCATGAGGCTGTGAGGTCTGGGCTAAGGCAGAGCTCTGCCCACCGACCCGGAGGAAGGGAGGGAGGGCTGACACCATCTCAGAGGATTTGCACAGGCAGCTGAGGAAATGCTGACGGGTAGGTTCTTCAGCAGCCATCACAACCTGGGCCGACAGTTAACAAGTACACAGGTTTTACAAAAAGTTTGCTAATAACCAAAACTGACCGATGAGGCTGCAGACAGCTCTCATGAAAGAGTAAGCCCAGTTAAAACTTGAGTTTGGAAATGGTTCCCTCTAGAATTTTCCAGTGCTTTTATGGAGTCACTGATTCCTACAGTTCTAAGAGTCTTTTTTTTTTTTTTTTTTTTTGACAGGCAGAGTGGACAGTGAGAGAGAGAGACAGAGAGAAAGGTCTTCCTTTGCCATTGGTTCACCCTCCAATGGCCGCCGCGGCCGGCGCGCTGCGACCGGCGCACCGCACTGATCCAATGGCAGGAGCCAGGAGCCAGGTGCTTTTCCTGGTCTCCCATGGGGTGCAGGGCCCAAGCACCTGGGCCATCCTCCACTGCACTCCCTGGCCACAGCAGAGAGCTGGCCTGGAAGAGGGGCAACCGGGACAGAATCCGGCACCCCGACCGGGACTAGAACCCGGTGTGCCGGCGCCGCTAGGCGGAGGATTAGCCTAGTGAGCCGCGGCGCCGGCCCAGTTCTAAGAGTCTTAACCATGTTTCACTGAGTTCCTAAATACAGGAATATTATATATATATAATATATATATAATATATATAAATATATATTATATATTATATTATATAATATATATATTAATATATATATATTTATTCGAATTCGAATATTAGAACTTGGTGGATGGAGATGCAATAAAGCAAATACAGTAAAATGTTAATGGTACAGTCGAGGTGGTAGGTCCAGGGGTGCCCCCTAGTTAGTATTTTAAACTTTGCTATCTGAAAATTTTCATAACAAAATGTTGGGAAAAGGAAGAAATCCTTTGATTGGGGGCTGGTCCTGTCAGTGGCCATGAACTAAGACTTCAGCACCAGCTGTGGCTCTGCCAAGTTTTAGAAGAGCAGGTGTACACAGGAACGGGAGCCGCGTCACCAGCCGGTGCCCACAGAAGTGCAGTGACTCACTTCTGCTTCAAGACCCCAATGCTTCCAGAGCACCCACTGCTTCCTCCAGGTGTTTCTCACGCTTTCAGTCACGCTCCAGGGAGGGATGCAGTCCTCTGCGACCCTGAACTGTCGGCCCTACTGCAAGGGCACTGCCTGTGCAGTCACAAAACGTGTCCTATGCTTCGTTTGAACACTCAGCTCCCCGCCCCCAGAGGCGCTTACGCCTCACTGCCGTAACACGCAATCTGTGCTGAGACACGTTTCTAAACCCACCTGCTCCCACTGTTACTTGTGATGACAAGATTTTCCCCTCTTATATTTTCATTTCACTATAAAATAAAAGGTACCCATTTCCCTTCGTTTGGGGAGCCACATCTTTGGACACAATTCCCCGCTATTTACTGCACCTGGACTCCAGGAAGCAGGCCCACAATATTGGGTAAGAGCAGAGCATGCTAGGTCTTGGAGATGGTCATTGAGGGAAGAATGCAAGTTTTAGAATAATGCTTAAAGTATCACTTTTAAGATTTTGGGGACAGGGCTGGTGCTGTGGTGTAGGGGGTAAAGCCACTGCCACCTACAGTGCCGGCATCTCATATGAACGCCAATTCAAGTCCCGGCTGCTCCACTTCCATTCCAGCTCTCTGCTATGGCTTGGGAAAGCAGTAGAAGATGGCCCAAGTCCTTGGGCCCCTGCACCCACATGGGAGACCTGGAAGAAGCTCCGGGCTCCTGGCTTCAGAATGGCATAGCTCTGGCCATTGTGGCCATTTGGGGAGTAAACCAGCAGATGCAAGACCTTTCTCTCTGTCTCTTCCTATCACTGTAGCTCTACCTTTCAAATAAATAAATAAAATCTTAAAAAAAAAAAAAAAAAGGAAAAGAAAAGGCACTGCAGGTGCTTGGACAAATGCTAGAGGAGTATGCCCAAGCAGTGGCAGGAGCCATGGGGTGGGTCTTTCTAACTCCCTTGGGAGCAGACACCAGTGCTAGGTTGCAGGCAGAGGTCCAAGAATGGGACATGCAGTGCACCATAAAAGAGGAGAGAGAAAATCAGAAGGTGAGGGAAGATTCCACTGGTGCCTTGGGGACTGACAGCGCCATTCTCTGGTTCACCCTGACACCAGAGGCAGCCTGGGAATCAGGGTCGCGTGGTTGTGTCCTCTGATGAGGATGCTGCTGAGCCTCTGGTGCGATTCCACGTCCGCCCACAGTCACCCACCTAAGACTCCGCAACAGGGCGTTCTTCCAGGCAGCCCACAGTGGTGGAGCATTTAGTTTTCTGCCCGTACATTCAGGCAGAACTAGTCGATCTTGGATCTAACTTTAGGCAGAAGGCCTCTGAATCTGTTCCAGCTAGGCTGCTGCAATCACGGGCTGTAGGGGTGGACAGGATCTTGCTCTCAGGACTGGAAGTGGAAAAATTGGCATCCCCGACTGTGCACCCAGGCTTGCAGCAGTGGCTTCAGACCACCGATCCTACGGCAGGAAATCATTCCCCTCTGGACTGGATTATGGTGGAAGCCTTGTATGATGTGGCCTAGTGCCAGAGACTTGCCCAGAGCCACCAGCAGGTGGCAGACATACACTGAGCTACAGCAAATGTTGGACGAGCGGGGCATGTGAAATGCCATGTGCAATGCCAGATGCGGCGCTTTTTACTGCAGGGATGCAGGCTCTTGGGACGCAGGCTGCTCCCTCTGCCCTGTTTGGGCCCCTGTTGGTGAGGCCAGCCCTGGACGAGGGACCACCCATCAATGTGGCTAGTGCAGGTCACCACTCAAGAAAGAAAGGAAGGATTGAGGTCACTCGAACCCAGATGTGGGTCAACCTTCAGTGGGGGCAGACAGGGAAAAATTAGATGGGCAAACCAATAAGATATTGCTAGAATTATGGCAACAATAATACCAGCACAATGGTTCCTGCCATGGAAGGGGAACACTTGAATGAAGCACCCAAGGGACACGAGGGGTCCAAGCAGTTGATTACAGGATTTTCTGGGAGATCCTCAGCTGTCTGAGATGACTACTGACAGTTGGGCGCTTAAATTTGGTGGGGGTGGGTGGGGAGGCCAACATACCAGCTTGGTGGGAACGGGCTTCATGTGGAGTT